GTCATTTGTATATTAATCTGGAAAGAAATACTATCTTTGTTTTAACTTTAATCAATCATAATGACTTCAGTATCTTCATTTAAGCATTTGTATTGTATTATAAATATTCTTAACATTAAGTATTCAAGCTAATACATGATTTTTTTTAATTGAAAAAAAATGGCATTTGTATTACTTTTATAGGGCTATTGTGACAAATACTATAATTGGGTGGCTTCAAATAGCAGAAATTTATTTCACAATTCCGAAGTCTAGAAGTCTAAAATCAATGATAGGTATAACCATGCTCTAAAAGGCTCTGGAGAATAAATCTTTTCTTGCCTTTCTCCAGCTTTTGGTGGTTACTGGCAATTCTCTTTTCTATGGTTTGTAGATAAATCACTTCCCCTCCATTAGCACATAGTATTCTCTCTCTAGGTCTCTGTTTTGTAAGAACACCAGTCATTGGATAGAACCCATATTAGTCAAGTATAACCTCATTTTAACTTGGTAACACCTGCAAAGACCTTGTTTCCAAATAATATCTCATTTACAGGTATAAGGGATTCGAACTTAAACGAACATATTTTAGAGGAGGGACAAAACAACACTATGGAGTTGGCCCTCTATTCCACCAACAAACTCTTAGCCAACTGGGTAATGGATAGAAGGTAGAAGAACTTGGAAGTTTACTGTAGAACAAATTGTCACAACTGAGTGGCTTAAACATTTTTAAAAATGACTTTGGAGAACACAACACAGTATAGCATTTTATTCCAAATTTGTCTATCACAGTCTTATAGAGAATATTAAGTACTTGGTAGCTGCCTCTTTAAAACAATTATGTACAGAAGGATAAAAAGGCCATGTATAATGTCCAGAGAGTATATTGAATTATACTCTAAATAGTTTTTTTCCACAACAAAGTAATAATTTTTTCTTTCTCAACAAAGTAATAAATTACTATATGCTTTGGGCCCAAGGTCTACTTTATACTATAAACTATGAGTATTTAGAAATATGTTACCATGATCCCAAAGTCATTTGTGTGCATATTGAGAAATACTGCTATGGAGTCTTTTTTTCCCCCACTCCTCAACTTTGAGTTTTACCACTAAAACCAAGCAACATGCAGACAGACAGATGTAGCAGAAAGTCAGATTATCCATGGTTGTTGAAGTCTACTTTAAATGTTTCAAATGCTTCTTTTGAAAATTGATTAGAGAAAAAATACTGAACTAAAAGCCCTAAATGGACCTCTACAGGCTAGGCATGAAGTTAATGCCATAAAGTAGACTACTTTTAGGGTTTTTTTCCCCCCAGCTATCCATTTTGTGTCATTGATTCTTTGCTTATCGCAACTAAACTAGTTATGTTGCATTATTATCTTTTTATTTATGAAGAATTCCAGAGCCTTGCCTTATGAAACATACTCTCCCTTTTGGCCTATATGGAGTTGTGCCTTGTGCAGGACTCCAAATCTACTTGAATAGCCATTTTTATTTCAAATTAGTAGTAAAACATGTTGTAAAATTAGCCTTTAAATAAATTATTTTGATCTAATTCATTGTTCTTCAGATTCTTCTATCAGAATAGCCATCAGGTAGATTTCTTTTTAAACTAAGAAAGGTAATTCTAAGACTCAGAAGTCTGTTTTCCTATTTATCATCAATTGGTTGTTAAAAAGAATATAATGATTTGTCGCACAGATTGAGGACCTGCCTTTGCAATCCCAAGAGGTTAGAATACAAAGGCTAATCAAATTCTTTTTGTTTCCCAGTTGTTGCATTGCTTTTCTCCCATGTTTTTCCCTATATTTTTAAATATTTTTGGCTTCTGGTGTTTAATAGGGAAAGATTCTAAAACAGTAGATCTCTCAAAGAAATTAATGAAAAACTACGTCTTATTATTTCTACTAGTAAAAATGTAAAGTGTTTACTGTCAACAAATTATCATGAGTGAACTTGAAAGATACCTATGTAAATGGTATGTAATGGGCAGCACACTATTGTGCGATGAGTGCTCACCTGGAAGTCTTAGCTGACTAGCTGCATGTCTTGTTACTTTTGCACCCTAGTGATCTCATCTTTGTATTACTGTTCTTTGTGTCCTGTACACTCTTACTCACATAGTGATCAAGAAGTAGTAAGTAGTGGCAGAGACTAAATGATGAAAGGACCTGTTATCCCTCTAGCACATCTGGTACAGAACATAACCTTCTTTTAGACTACGAACATCAGAAGTATAAATATGGGTGACCGGTTTGTGTGTTTTTAATTTGGGGATAATTTCAGCATCATGGGAAAAGTACACAACTTGTGTTTTAAAAATCCCAGGATATCCTTCATTCATATTCTCCAAAAGTTATCATGTTACCATGTTCATTTTATCATCATCTCCCTATCCCTTCCACACAAAACACAAATTGTATTTTTCTGATTCTTTGAAGATGCAGACATAAAGTTCTGTATTTATAAATTCATCAGTATATATTTCCTGAAAATGAGGATAGTCTTTCGTGTAACCACAGTTATCACAGTCTGGAGATTGATGTGAACAGTACTACTATCAAATCAGCCAGTTTTAATGCAGTGTTGCCAGTGCATTACCAATGTCTGTTATAAAGAGAGGGAGGGAGATTGATTTGGGAGCCTGTTATCCAATCAACCAAAATCCCTAAGTGATTTTGTATTACATTTATTTTTCATGGTTCTCCAATCTTGAACTGTTTTAGTCTTTTATACCTTCCCCCCCCTTTTTTTTTTTTTTTTTTTGAAGAACATGGTATAGTCCATTGTTTTGTTAGAATGTTCCTTAACCCCAAGGTTTTAGATGACCTTTTTTCAATGCTTAAACTACCATATTTAAAATGTTTAATGAATATTATAAATTGGGTTTTAAATGCTGAGTAAAAATTAACGTAAGGCAGGTATCCTACTGGGTAAAATAATTTTTCTTATTTTATAATTGAGGCTAATTTTTCTAGACCTGAAAGTCTAAGGTTTTTAAAACTCAAGGCAGCTTTAGCTTTATTAAACAATCGCCTTGTAAAGATTACATCAGGAGTTAGGTGTTAGGAGCTGATAGAACAGAATTAAAGAAATATAGATATGGGAGACATTCCTGGTAGATATTTGAAAGATACCAAATAAAATTGGTTTGGTCATTTCTTGGGGTAAGTATGCATTTCTTAATTTGGTATTGAAAATCTTAGTAAAGAATAAGGTATGCCAGGCACACACCTGTAATCCTAATGGCTCAGGAGGCTGAGGCAGGAGGATTGTGAGTTCAAAGCCAGCCTCAGCAACTTAACAAAGCCCTAAGCAACTCAGTGAGACCTTGTCTCTAAAAAAAAGTACAGAAAGGGCTGAGGATGTGGCTCGGGCAGTTAAGTGCCTCCGAGTTCAATACCCAGTGGGGTTGGGGGGGCGGGGTGAAAGTGAACAGTTAGTGTACAACAAGGAAATAGTGTATTACAAGGAAATTTGTATGAGAAATAGGTTTGAAATAGATTTGAAAACTTGATTTGAGGATATATTCAACAGGATGCTGTAGATTTTTTACCATATCTTCAAAATAGCCTTTGAAAGAGAAATAAAATTGATGTGTGTAAAAACATTGGAAAGTAAACTACTCTTCCCTACAAAAAGGGCCAGGATGCTAGAGCAAACCCGGTGACATGGGATGTGATAAAGACCAGATTAAAGTAGGGTTTTTAAATGTCATGCTAATTGCATCGTTAAATGATCAGGTGGGCTAGTTATTATTTATTGTTACGAACATTTCATGAAATTATGTAAGCAAGTAATGGGGACTAGAAGAGTCGGAAGTAGTGATAAAATTGATAATATTCAAACACTGAACTCTTAGTTGCATATTTCATCTGGTTACTGAGGCTAGCATGTAGAAGAAAGAAAAAACAAAACAAGAATTTGTTATTTAATGATGTTGTTGTATAAGATGAACTGTTCATTACACACATTTTAAACAAGATATGCTACAATGAAACCTTAGGCAGTCCATGCTACATAAAATATTTATGCTTCTAGTTGTCATTCAGGAAATATTTTGCACCCACTTGCTATATGTTAGACATTGTTCTACGTGCCAGGTTATATAACCTGTTGATCGATGTAATTTGACGCCACTTAACATTGGAGGAGTTGATTCTAATAAACAAATGTATAATATGCTGTAGAAAAAATTAAAGCTAGGGCAGTAAGAACAGAGAGTCAAATAAGAGTACTCTAACCCTATTTGTTCTCGAGGATTTAAATTCCTATTTGCTCCCTACCTTCATAATTCCTTTGGCCTTTAATGTTTCTGTATGGCTTTGCACTGACAGTGTGTCCTTAGGAACATCTTTTCCCCATGGTTCCAACTGACTGACTATATGGCTGTACTCTAAACAGAGTTGGTATATAATAACAGGTGATGGTGGATTTGATTTTTCTGAACTACTAAAATCTGCATTTTGCAATGGCCTTTGCATTTTCATTTTTAAAAGGACACTGTCAAGTACTTATAAATTGTTTATAATAAAAATAATTTCCCTCTTGTATTTGTTTTTGTTTCTATTGACTGCCTTTTAATTTTATTATGTTGACTAGGACATCAGTTACCAGCTTTTTTATTCATCATAAGTGATTAAAGCTCTGGGAATAACTGCTGTTTTTTTACTACTATTTGTCTGCAAAAGAATAGTATTTTATGGAGAGTATATTTAAATTAAAATGTAATAATCTCTTAAAATTGTGTATACTTTGAATCATTACTTAATATTGTGTGGCTTTTTTTTTTTAAGCTCCAAACATTGAGTTAACAAAAGGTGTTTTGTCTTTACTAGAAGTATATATGACAATGTATTTTTAATGTTTTCTCAAAGAGTACAGACTTAACACTCAGTGTTATTCCGTTAATACTTCAATACTTTAATCTGTTTGCTAGCTTATTACAAAAGTAACTTTTATTTGAGAAATAACTTTGTCAAAAATATCTGCTGACCAGCTGCTTTGTTGTAGGAGGTCTGACAAATGGTAGTGGACGATATATCTCTGCAGCACCTGGAGCAGAAGCAAAATATCGAAGTGCTTCAAGCACTTCCAGTCTATTTAGCTCCAGCAGCCAGCTCTTTCCTCCTTCTCGGCTTCGGTATAATAGGTCTGATATTATGCCTTCTGGCCGCAGTAGATTATTGGAAGATTTCAGAAACAACCGCTTCCCAAACCTTCAACTTAGAGACTTGATTGGACATATAGTTGAGTTTTCTCAAGACCAGCATGGTTCTAGGTAGGTATTTATAATTTGTGATACTTCCTGCTTTATTTTTGCTTTGAAAATTACTATCTTATAAAAGTGTAAATTTTTCTTGTCTTGGCTTAGCTAACCTGCATTGACAATGGAAGCTCTTAAAACCAACATGGATTATATTTTTTCTTTTCACATTAGGATAAACTATAAAAATATATATGTAGTTAAATACTTTTGTTGCTTTTTGTTTGTTCTCTTTAGTTAATTTTTTTGTAGTTGTAGATGGACAGAATGGCTTTATTTTATTTTTATGTGGTGCTGAGGATCGAACCCAGTGCCTCAGGCATGCCAGGCAAACATTCTGTTGCTGAGCCGCTGCCCCAGCCCTTAAACAAGTAATTTTAGATAGTTGCATACAAATTTTATCTCCCCGTAACTGAAAGTTCTTAAGTTACAAGGTTCACCTACAGTGACTAACTTAGTAATTCATTTGTGTTTGAATTTTATTTCTAAGGTTTTCTTTATATTCTAAAATATATGTTACTATAAAAAAACTAAACAAAGATTATTTTAAGTTCATTTTTTATTAATCTAATAGTTTTTTTAAGATGTTATAAAGAGACACTTCATAATATTTATATTTTGTTACAAGCTAAGCTATATACATATAAAGTGTGTTGATATTTCTGAAAATGATTGGAGGGAAGTATAATACTCAAGAAATAGATTTTGCTGAGCTTATTTTCAATTCATTGTCGTGATGTTTAAAATTTTTCCCAACATAGGTTCATACAGCAGAAGTTAGAGAGAGCTACTCCAGCCGAGCGACAGATGGTATTTAATGAAATTTTACAAGCAGCCTATCAATTAATGACAGATGTTTTTGGCAACTATGTTATACAGAAATTTTTTGAGGTAAGCCTGCATACATATTTGTACTCAATTATAATCCACATACTTAAAGCTGAGAAAAGCTCTGAACATAGATAACAGTCACTTTTATACAATAATATTTGCAAGTCATATATTTAATAATGATTTTATATCTAAATATAATATAAAGAAGTCCTACAAAAAGGACAACCCAGTTGAAAAATGAATAAAGGACTTGAATAGACATTTCTCCACAGAAAATACCAATAGCCATTAACCCATGAAAAGATGCCTAAACATTCTTAATTACTAGGGATATGTACATCAAAACCACAATGTGATGCTACTTTATACCTACTAAAATGGCTATAATTTTTTTAAAAAGAAAGGAAAATATCAAGTATGGGTAAGGATGTAGAGAAGTAACACTCATACATTGTTGATAGGAATATAAAATGATGCAATAAATTGAAAACAGGAACTTGAACAGTAGTGTTCGTTGTACCATTATTTACAGTAGCCCAAAGTTAGGAAATGATCCACTATCCATCAGCAAGATAAATGGATAAACAAAATGTTATATACAAAACAACAGAATATTATTCATCCATAAAAAGGAAAGAACTTCTGGTACATGGTACAGCATGGAAGAACCTTGAAAGCGTTAAGCTAAAAATAAACCAGACAAAAGGACAAACATAGGGTTCCACCTACATGAAAATCTACAAAAGCACATTCATAGGAACATATAGTAGATGAGGGTTGGGAGGAAAGGGAAATATGGAAAGTTATTGTTGAATGGGTAAGGCAGTTCCATTTGAAGATATTCAAAAGATTTGGACAGAATGATTGATGGTTGTACAACAGAGTGAGTATAATTAATACCACTGAATTACACACATTAAAATGGTGTACTTTATGGGCTGGGTGTAGATGTGTGTGTATGTGTTAGTTTTTTTAATTTTATACATTTGGACCTACTTTAAAGTTTGTTAATTCCTAGGATTGTAAAATCTTAGGAATAAGTCTTAGGTGAACCAGTTAGTGAATACCACTGTATTCTTTATTTGAATTTGTGTGTTCTATTTGGTAATTTACCTAAAACATCTGTTGTAGAACAGCTTAACAGGTTTTTCTCTTCAATTGTATCAGAATACTATTTGAAAATTACCTGGATAAGAAAATTTTAGCGGTCTGAATGAATGGCTCCAAAGTTCATGTATTAAAGATGTTGGGGGTATGTTAGAAATGAAGATGCGTAACTTTAATAAAGACTATTAAAGACTAATAAAGACTTTAAACAGTAGTTAATGTGATAGTATCAAGAAAATTGTAAATAATGCAACTTAATAAAAAACAGGTATATTTTAAAAACAGATTGAACAGATTTCAAAGCATCTTATTCAGGTTTAATAAATTAATATGGTCACTTTATATTAATGATACTTTCTTTTCTGTCAGTTTGGAAGTTTGGATCAAAAACTAGCCTTGGCTACTCGAATTCGTGGTCATGTTCTGCCTTTAGCCTTACAGATGTATGGCTGCCGTGTTATTCAAAAAGCATTAGAGTCTATTTCTTCTGACCAGCAGGTAATTGTAAGTTAAGAAAAAAATTTTGTAATATTTTATTCAATTTTTAGATATTTCTAAAATTAGACTAAATTTTTTTGATAAGTCTAAAATAACTCCTTACTCTCTAAAAGTTACAGAGCAGATCTTTGGTCTCTCCATCCATTCCCTTCTATATCTTTCCATCTTTCATTGAAGGTATTTGAGTGCTTACTATGTACAAGAATAATGTTAAATGACGCATGTTTTTTTTGCTTGTCATAGTTGCTACTTATGATTGAACCCAGGGCCTTCCGTGTTCTAGGCAAACACTCTATCACTGAACTACAGTGCCTGCCCATGATATGTTAAAGAAAACACATATAAATTAAATGAGGAAATGGGTGGAAAATGTAAATAAGTGTTAATGCAAGTCTAGTCACATACTCCTGGTACTTTTATTGTAAACATCAAAATAATGTTTAAAAATTATTTGAAATAGACAAGAATATTGAAAGTAGGGAAATAAGGATAAATGCTGATTCTCCGAATTTTAAAATACGTACTGTGAAAGGAGGAGGAAAAGGAAAGGGGGGTACTGGGGGACAAAACTGACCAAATTATATTGTTATGTGCATGTAGAGGAATATGTAAGTGAATCCCACTATTATGTATAATTATGATGCACCAGTAACAAAATTTTAAGTATGTGTGTATTTGTACATATATGCATGTGTACCCTATGAAGTGACCCTGAGTGGGATTCTTATGAGATTAAACATACTTTTACTATGACATTAATTGTCACAAACACTCTTATGTATAAATGATTTCTATATTACAGTGAAAACATAGTCAAGGAAATTTTTTTCTTAGAAGGTAATGTTAGTAAGTTTATAAAATAATTTTTGTGTCATGTAATAAAAATAAATTTTAGAATCAAAAATAATATGGATAAATGGGTGTGTGTGAGTATGTGTACACAAATACCAACATTGAAAATATATAAGAAAGCCAGGTTTGGTAGATCACACCTGTAATCCCAGGTACTTGGGAGAATGAGGCAAGGGGATATAAAGTTCAAGACTAGCCTGGGCAATAAGTTGCTAAGGCAAGACCTGTCTCAAAAAGGACTGAGAATGTAGCTCCATGTAAAGTGTCCCTGGGTTCATCTCCAGTACCACCACAAACAATAATAATAATTCCTTTTTGAGGACTGCAGAGAGGCTAAGTAGGACAGAACTTTAGAATTCTAAAAGTGTGTTTTTACCAGCTAAGAAAGATTAGTGGAAGGTGTATACAGTGAAGATAGTAGTTTGTCTACCATGCAAGTTCAGCATCATTAGGTTATATTTCAACATGTATCATCAGCATTACAGTCCTCCAGTATGTTTTAATAATTCTCAGTTTCAATGGTTTCTTCTAATTATACTTCAGGGAATATTTTTTATTTTTCATATATTAAAAAAATTAACAAACAGGAAATATTTTGAGTATAATGTTTTACTCACCTAAGTATTTCTAATCTTGTTATGTTGTTTGATTAGTTAATTTTAAATGGCATCATCTTTGCAGAGTGAAATGGTAAAGGAGCTAGATGGTCATGTACTCAAATGTGTGAAAGATCAGAACGGAAACCACGTTGTACAAAAATGTATTGAATGTGTTCAGCCACAGTCACTGCAGTTCATCATTGATGCTTTCAAAGGACAAGTAAGATTGCTTTTGGCTTCTAATTTGTTAGTGGGGCATTATTTTAGATTTTGAATATTAACATTTTTTTCTTGAGTCTCAAGATATTACCAGCATGTGCATATAAAAATAAAGAGACAAGACAGTAGATGTACATTAATTTCTGCCTCTTTTGTAGTCATTAGATAGTGTTTCTCGCTGCCCCCCACACACACAAGTTGAAAAACTTAGTAGTTTGGTAGTATTATTTTAAGAAGTTAAGATAGTCACTATTAAAATTATAAAGCACGATGTTTTCCAAATTTCCTGGGGAGAGGGAGTTAAGGAGAAGTCTCAATGGTTTTAAAAAGAAGGTACACCCTCAGCTCTAAACTACCCTTCCTCCATTCTTCAACAATATCACATACCCTCAATCTTCTGGTTAAGTTCCTTTCAGTCAGAATATCTTTATCTATAAATTCAGTACTCTCCCACAACCTCCCAGTCTTTGCTGTCATGGTGGAGGTTGTAGTAAACGTGAATCAGAAATCTGTCTACCTTTTAAAACAGTTAAAAAATATCAGAAGTTTAATTTTTAGTTATTTTGTTTTAAGGTATTTGTGCTTTCAACCCATCCTTATGGCTGCAGAGTAATTCAACGTATTCTAGAGCATTGTACTGCAGAACAGACCTTACCCATCTTGGAAGAACTTCACCAACATACAGAGCAGTTAGTACAGGTATGAATTCTTTAATAATTTGAAGTGTGTGTATGTTCTTGGAAAATTTTTTTAAGAAATATAATTTATTATTAAATAGTAAAATGAATTTATTGTGTTCTTGATCCTCTAGATTTGGGGGCAAATGTTTAACATATTTTTAAATATCTGTCTGTAGGATCAGTATGGCAATTATGTTATTCAGCATGTACTAGAACATGGTCGGCCTGAAGACAAGAGCAAAATTGTTTCTGAAATCAGAGGAAAGGTGTTAGCTCTGAGTCAACACAAATTTGCCAGGTATTGTATTATTTTCTAATTTCAGTTTTTTCAACAGGAATGCATAAAGTATATATCATTGAAGGATCATCTCTTGGTGACTTTTAAAAGAACATAAAGGCAGGCATGGTGGCATATACCTATAGACAAAGTTGCTCAGAATGTTGGAACAGGACAGTGGATAGAACTCTCATAAGCTTGAAACTAGCCTTGGCAACATAGCAAGATACAAGTCTCAAAAGAAAACGTACATACAGAACATTCTTTTTTTTTTCTCTCTTTCTCACCCCTTCTTAAACACACATAACTAATTGCTTTTATCCACATTTATTCCACTTTTGAATCTGTATTTAGAAAATATTGATCCCCAAGACCAGTAAGAAAATGCAGATGTATTCAGTGCATGTTTTTGAAAGTCAGACTTTATTATCAATGTGGTTTTCTTTTTTGGATTATAATTTTAACACTCATAATTAAATTTGCAAATGTCAAAAGGTGGGTTATTCTATGGTGCCATTTTCTTGATGGTAGCAAAGGGGTGGGGTGTTTTGGGTTTTGGTGCCCAGGATCAAACCCAGGACCTCATGATGTCAGGCAAGTGCTCTACTCTGAGCTACATTTCAGCCTTTTTTTTTTTTTTTTTTTTTATGTTTTTAAAAATATTTTTAGTTGTAGATGGACACAATACCTATATTTTATTTACTTATTTTTACATGGTGCTGAGGATCAAACCCATTGCCTCACGTGTGCTAGTTTGTACTTTATTTTGTTTTGGGATAGGGTCTTGCTGTGTTGCCCAGGCTGGCCTGGAGCTTGTGGCCATGCTTCAGCCTAAAATAGGTGTGCACCACATGGCCCAGCCCAAATTCCTGTTTTTAAAGTAATTGTAAAACAAGAAAACCCCATCTTAATGCCTCTTCTGTTTTCTAATATGTTGGAGCAAATTCTTTGAAAAGTCATAGACATCTTGCTATAAAGAAAAAAAAAAATAACAAGGTCATTGTGTTTCTAGCAATGTCGTAGAAAAGTGTGTTACTCACGCCTCCCGTGCTGAGAGAGCTTTACTGATTGATGAAGTTTGCTGCCAGAACGATGGTCCTCACAGTGCCTTATACACCATGATGAAGGATCAGTATGCCAATTATGTGGTTCAGAAGATGATTGACATGGCTGAACCTGCTCAGAGAAAGATAATCATGCACAAGGTAATACATAGTTTGTGTGACTTTGGCTACATGTTTAAACTTGCCTAGGTATAATTTCTTTGTATGTGCTATAACTGGACAGGGAAAAAAAAACCATGGATAACCTTCCACAGTTGATTTTCTTTTTATTAAATTCTTAAGGTAACCTGTTCAGTAAAATCCACATGAATGCTGTTAACCCTAACCCTATGTTTAACATTATTCTTTTCCTCCCCTTTCTTATTTAGTTCATAGTCATGAACTGAACATTGATCTTTAAAAATGTAATTAGGTTTTCCTACTAACTGGTCAAGTCTTTCCAAAGAGAATTTTGGGTTAATATGATTTTTCACCTCATGTAGTAATACCTCCTAATACTTTCTGAGGTTGTTTTCTCCCTAGAATCTAATGACTGTTTAAGAAATTGTTAATGGCTATAGGAAAACTTAACTTTTTTTTTTTTTTTTTTTTTTTTAAGTTTTTTTTTTTTTTTTAATTTTTTATTGTTGGCTGTTCA